GTCCGGTGAGTACTATATTCGAACGGTCCTGACTTGGAGAACAAACCTGATTTGTGGCCCTGGGCAGTGCTTTGTGACCCTCACTATCATGTCAACATTTGCATTTTTCTACCTACAGTTACATATGTTACAAATTAAACTAAGGACAATTAACTATTAAAGGATGAATATTTTTTTCGGATTTTGACATCATTCCGGGGTCTTTTTTGTCCAAATCTGTAAATGCTCATGCTTAGTCTCGAAAAAACATTATTATATTTTTATTCATAATATTGAACATATTAAAAAAATTCAGACTTACTATATATATATATATATATATATATATATATATATATATATATATATATATATATATATGTATAGAGAGAGAGAGAGAAAGAAAGAGAGATTTATGAACGAATATAGCTTTAAAAAAATAAAACTTCACATTAAACGCAACCAAGCAAAAAGTGCTCAAACGGAAAACAAGCTTTGAGGTGATTTTTTTATACAAAATAATTATAGATACATATAAACCGATGGAAATAGATAGATAGATAGATAGATAGATAGATAGATATCGACAGACTGAGATTGTTTTAAAAAATTAAATCAAACAGTTAAAGAGCAAAAAGTAATCTTTAAAGAATTTCCTACATTATTTCATAGTCTTTTCTTGATATATCATCGTTAATTTTTAAGAATAAGAAACAAAATTGAAAAAAAATCCCGTAAAGATTAACGAAAAAACATTAACTGTTTATTGATTTATTCAGAAAGTCGCCACTCCTTAAAACTAGCATAGTTCCAATAATGAATAAAGTTTTAATTAAAATGGTTTCAGACCTGTGCACTGTCACTAAACAACTCTTCCAAGTGCTTTAATTAATGTCGAATCGTTAAGCATTGCACAAACCTCATTATTATAACACTAAGCGCATAAAATATACTGAACTTTTTTATATGAAAAAGGAGGCAACAGAAATGTTGATCGTCTAAGAAAGGGCTCTCATCTCATCACAGATTATTTCTATCGTCAAGGGTTTTTTTTATTGGATAAATCAATACTCTCTACCAACTCCATTAACACTCGTTTAATTATATTGAATTTGAGGGAAAGAAGCCACGACTATATTGAAGTAGAATTGAAGTAGAGAGGCTTTAAATTATGTCCCAGAGAGAGAGGGGGAGGGAGGGAGAGAGAGAGAGGAGGAACAGAGAGAGGGAGAGAGAGGGGAAACAGAGAGAGAGAGGGGGGGAGGGAGACGATGGGAAAATGTCATTGGAGCTTTAAACGTTAATTGGTCCATATTATTTTAATCATTTCACCCTATGCAAAGCAGGAATGCCACTATTACGCACTGGGTTACAGGGAATGGAACTGAGAGAAAGAATGAGTATAAGGAGAATTGATGAAAGGACAAAGAATGAACGGGATTCAAGAAGATAGAAGATGGCGATTGACATTGCATATACATTTTTGAAGGTTGTAGTTATCAGAGAAGCTAGTAAACAGAATGGAGTTTCACAGACAGGAAGTGCGGGAAAAGAAACTGTTGGAGTAGATGTGGCAGTTGCATCGAGCTATTTCAACAGTAAACGGTCAATCTAGTAGCACGCTTAAACTCATATAGTTGTGGCACCAGGGAAAAAGCTCGTTAGAGCAGTTGCCATGAAAATATTTGTAGAAAAGACAGAGGGAAGTCACATCATATCGGTGAGAAAGTGACTGAAGTCGAGGGGCCAAGTTAGGATCAATTACATTACATCTTTGCCGTTTACAAATAAACTATCAATCTATTTATTATACAGTCATTAATCTATTTGTTATACAGTCATTAAATACTAAACATGCATTGATTTTATTGAATACGACTTTTAGATTGGAAATTCACAAGTATTTTAAACTATCGATCTCTTCATAGAATCTTTGATCCCCCATCAACACCAAGGCAATTTTTAAATAATTTCACTCCAAGCAAGGCGATAATGCCACAAAGGCGTAAGGGTTTACTGAGAGTGAAAATGTTTCATTTCCAACCGGAGATCTTGTATTATGGGTTTTCTCAATCAAGTCGTACGATTCCAGATAGATGGTACCTTTCGCAGGATATTTGCAGGGCCAAGCAATGCTGACTTCTGAAGCGATGGATACGAGGCTTTATTCCTTAATGCAGGACTTTAGATTCGGTCGTATGGATCCCAACTGGGACGATAATGGCCTGGACGACCTACATTGTGGCAGCCTCAATTCGGAGGTCGGTATACTTCTTAACCTTTTCAATTTTTAAACTTGATATTAGGGTCTGGTCACATCAATGAAGTATCTTTTTCTTTTTCTTTATTTCCAGCGATGGTCATGTTTGGTTTGGCGGAATCAAGCATTCTATCTTGATTTGGCTGTTTTCGATCATCGTTTCTGGCTTTAAACGGTAGCATTCCTCGTACCATTATATTATTATTATTATTATTATTGACTGTTCATACCAATTGTAATTGATGATTTACATTTGAGACGAAGTGCTATCAAGTTTCCTCGATAATCCAACACTCTTCCCAATGTTTTATTTGTTTTCCCCACTGCTGTTGTTAGGATAGTGACGACTCTCCTGATTTCTAGTTTTTTCAAAT